AAACAAAAAACCCTAGTAACAGCAAAAGTAGCTCACCTTTTTCAGCATCTAGGAGTAGGAAATTAAATAAGGGATCGCTTTAGCAAAAAGAATAACAGAGGAAAAAAGAATGGGAGAAAAACGTCGCCTCATCACTCAGCGATCAGCTGATTGTGTGTGGTCCTAGAACGATTAGTTGCAATCTGTATAGTCTCGACACTCGTCTGACGTGATGGCGTGACATCGATCGAGAGGTGGGGAAGCCATAGACCTTCCCGCCCACTGAATTATCCTGAACTGTGCCTTGAAATGACAAATTCAGCAGACGAGCAGAATCCCCAGACAGAAGAGACCACTTAACTCAAATCCGGAGGAACGGAAAGCCAGAAAGCTTTCCTTCTATCCAGAGTTTAGCCAACACTTTTTTTTAGTAATGACAGTGGCATTTGAATGTCTGTCTTTTAGTGTACAACTGTAAAAGTTAGACAACAAGGTACTGGCTTAGGAAACTGCACGTTTGGGGCTCTTTCCACATCTGAAACCCCTTTTTTGCTTATTCATGATCTTTCTGCACAGATACTGTAGCCTTTTTCCTTTGAAGGGGGCCACATAATCTTACCTTACTTCATTTGCCTACTTTCAATAATTAGGACTTTTGGTCTGGCAGCCGTATCGTGCACTGCTTCTCGTTACCATATTTGGCACGTTTAGGTCGGAAAACGGCCTAGTTAGGGAGTTCTAAAGGCTCAGTGATTAAACGGTGTGTATCCTCGGACGAGTCTCACTGGCATTGTAGAGGCTGCACCAATCACAAGGGAACCCATGTAGGAAGTTCGAACGACTTGTCATGTCATAGCGACAGTGAAAGGCAGTTCTCTTCAGTTTTGGCTTGATTTAGCCAGGTCTCTGCGCAGTTGCAACAACTGAAATCTCGTCCGAACACCCCTTCCATGTTATTTCCGTCATAGTGGTCTCGTCCAACTTCTAGTTTTTCGTCCTTTAAGGAGTGATGAGAAATATTTTTTTTTTGGAATTGGCAAATTCCCTCTCCTTCTTCGCTACTGATGGATTATTCCCAACCTACACTTCCGCTTTTCAAATAAAAAAGGGTACCCCAAAATTATCATAAAGTGTGCCTTTAAGGGCGTGCGAGTTACGATAACAGTTCATTCCAGTAGTTCATGACCAGACAGACCTCCAGAGAGCACCTTTCAAAGAAATCGTGCCTCTGAACATCGGCTACCAATTGCAAGTTTGATCCTCTTAATTATTCAATCGACCTTGTTGCAAAAGCGCTTTTTCAACGTGCACCTGTTGTTCCGTGCTCTGAAGGATACCAGTGTTAAGTGTGATACCAGGGTTCTCAAACCATACGAACACTCCTTCGGCCTACCTTCACTTCGATCACAATGTTTGACAACATTCGGAGGTACTGTTCCGTCCTGTTTTGGAGAATTCGAGGTGAGCGAATTTCGGAAAACTATTGGTACATCACCGTATAAACGGCATCCAGGCTTTATGTCATCGTTGTCAGGAAGCCCAGGGATAAAACTGGGGCAAAATATCAGCTGTCAGCAGAAGGGCACAAGATTTTGAAGTGAAGTTGTTTACGATTCGAGAGGGAATTTTAGAAATAGGCGGTGTTCTTAAGTGGAATTCGTGATTCATCCCATTCTTCGTGAACAGGGTAAGATACCCGAAGGCTGAAACGATAGGAAAAATCCTGAATAGCACCGGTCAAAAATATCGAGTTTTGGGGTCGATGGCAAGAAATAATTACTTTGTTGCTTATTGAGTGAAAACAACGTGGGATTCAGGATTTCGTGGTGTTGACAAACAATGTTTTCATCTGAAGCCATAAGGGGTTGCAGATTGAAAATATTCATTCACACGGTAGGATGACTTGACCGAAAGCTTGTATATGCTGGGGAAGTTATGTATTTCCGGGGTTGAGGCACAGGGCAGCCGATTTTTGAAATATTAAAAAATTTTCAAAAAGTTTATGAACAGATCAACTGAATCAACCATGGCCACGAATGATGCTGGGAGCCTGATCCACTGTTCTCCCGCCAGAACAGAAATTCATTTGGCCTTGTTTCCTAAGCTTTTCCCTTTTGACAGGTTGAATTGGCATTGAAATGTTGGCTGGATTTCATAGATTTACTATCTCATTTACTTCCATTACTTGATTTCACCCTCACATTCTTTCCCGTTCTATTGGTCAACGTGATCCCAATTCCAGTTGAGTAAGTCAGGAAGTAACGAGTGTTTGTTCAGGAAATCCGCCTGATAGCCAGCCAAATGCTGGCGAATTTCGATGATTGACAGGGGTGGCGAGGGACGAGGAAATGCACGAAATGACTTCCTGGCCCGGCCTAGCTTTAAACCCTCTGCTGCCAGCTTATCGATTCGCCTCACAATTACTACCAACCTCGAACCTGGTCCTTAATTTGACATTTCGGTTGCCAAATTGCCATTTTTTGGGGCTTCTCTACTGCTTTCATAAGAAAGCAGTAGTTTTGAGTGAATAAGAATCAGTTTCGGCTTGACTTCAAGCTTCGTTTTCTTTCTGAACCTTTTGACCGCTGATTTTCGAAGATTTCGATTGTTTTTTGGCTAGCCCTCTTTACGCTAACTCGATTAAATTTTTTTCTACTTCTTACTCTCTTAATTACTTATTACTTGACCAGGGGGCTGTTGTGGTGCAGTGGCTAAAGGCGCACTATCACCGTGGACCGCATCTCGGTTCGATGTTAGCACAGGCCAACTGAGCCTTTCATCCCTTCGCGGTTCGTTAATTGGTTCCAGACTCGTCTGGGAGGATAAAAGTACTGAATTGTTCTTCGACTGGTCCCAGGAAGTCGTTGTACAGGCCACACATGCCTTCAAAACACATTTACGATCCTGAATGGAAGTCAAATGCGGTGCGCATACCCTCAATGCGATTGATTATACCAGAAACTTGATCTTTTATCCTTTCACATCGTTATTCGCCATCCTGAAATTCGTAGCTTTAAACACCAATCTATCAGCTCTTGATTTTTCGGCAGATCTCGCAATGGGGAACCAAGGGAGCTCCCTTTCTGATATGAATCTTTTCTCCAAAGGTGCGGTCTTCACACGGGAGCAGCTGGATGAATATCAGGTACGTAAGATTTTTACGGCCTCCTAGTAGAAATGAGTAAACCGTCTGCACCACCAAGTCTTGTTCAGGACTGTACCTTCTTCACTAAAAAGGACATAATCCGATTGTATAAACGTTTCTACGCCCTGAATCCACACAAAGTGCCTACAAATATGCAAGGAAGCCGTCCATCAATAGTCACCCTGTCATTTGAGGAAATTGAAAAAATGCCTGAACTAAAGGTGTGTTAAGACAAAATCGTGGAAAAGTTTCTGATAAATTTCGTTCTTTTCAAGGAAAATCCATTTCGAAGAAGAATCTGCGAAGTTTTCTCAGAGGATGGTCGTGGAAATTTGACTTTCGATGACTTTCTGGATATGTTCTCTGTGTTTTCGGAAAATGCACCGTTGCAGCTCAAACTTAAATACGCTTTTCGTATTTACGGTGAGTCAAGAAAAACGTTCGCCGCAGGAAGGCTTAATATAAATGAAAATTAGTTCAAGCAGGAAGAGCAACATGTTTATCTTATTTGTAAATAGATCAAGCAATTCTATACTTGTTTGCCCATTTGTGTCAACATGCCGCGCAGTAAGGACACAGGGTGTCTCTGACTCTTTTCTGAACCTCACCCATCCCATTGGCCACGTCCAACGACCAACAGTCACCGCACTCGAAAAAAGGGAAGACGGGCGTTAGGAACGATTTTGGGTAATCGATTCGCCGCACGCG